CCAAAATCGAACAAAACCATGCGCTATAGTCCATGCATTTTGCCTCAAAATGGCCAAAAATGAGCGTTGCGTCTATGAAGGGAATTGATTTTATACATTAAAAAACTGAGGTTTGAAAAACGCATAAAATAGTTTAAAAATAATTAAAAGTTATTCTCTTTATAGAATTTTTTTACCTCGTTATGAAAGCTAGACTAATTGGGAAAGAGTTGAAATCTCGTTGGAAACGCGAAGCGTGAGTCTTGTGGAGGGATACAATATCATATCAAGTACCAAGATGAATTGTTTCTTAAACTACATCCCTTTATTTATACACAAATAGTACTGTTTGCCTCAACTCAAAAATTTCATTCTAATTTATACGAGGCATGATTGATTTAATAATGAGAATAGCGCAATGATTATTATTATTCACCTATAAAAAGTTTTAAAGATTTATTGAAGTGTAATATACCTTTGACTAGCAAATTTTCCTCTTCAATAACCTATCAACGTAATTTTCCGCCAAAATCGTGGCGCGCGCGGCACAAAAATGGCGGGAAATGAAGACATAGGTAAAAGGAAGCTGATTGGCTACAGAACATTGAATACGACCATTGTACACTTTGATACAGGTCCGTTTATTATTACATCTCACAAAGAAGGGGTTCACTTCGAGAATCTATTTGTATAACGCAAAAAACAAAAGCGAGAAAATTATGAAATAAATTCTTTGTTATTGTGGTTTTGTACTGTGATGTTTTAATCTCTGTGTGTCTATAAGCTAACTAAAGCAAATGGGCCCTACTTCGAACCCAAATTCTACTGCTTCGTCGACTCCTCCAGGAGCAAAGTCCACTATTGGCATTTGGTTCAAGTCTTCTGTTTCTATCTGGAATATTGCTTTTCCATCCTTCTCCTTTGACTGTACGAAAGATAAGATAAAATACAGATGATAAGAGAGCAATTGGAGGTGATATTAGAGTATGATAAATGGGCAAAGTGGGGAAGGAGGGAAGAGGGGTCTACATAAGAAAGCAGGTATGAAATATCTTTGTGTGTTTGTTGTGGGGGGAGGTGCAGGGTACGAGCGAAGAGGAGGGTAGTGATATACAGTCAATTCAAAAAACGTTGTCGTCGATCGGCTCAAGCCTACGCGACTGGACCGAAAGAAATATGGGTAAAAATCACTGAAGCGGTTAAATATTTGTTCTGAATTAATTGTTCCCGCTAGTAATAAGATAATAATACATCAAATGCATGTCTTCGGGTTTAGGGAAAGAAAAACAAAGTAGTTATGATTCAGTTCACAATTTCGAAGATATGAAGGCATTAAAAAACGTCTCCTTCAACACTTCCCGTTCGCCTACGAAGGTTCGTGCTGTAAACCAGGCATAACTAGTCAGATAAAATTATGGAGTCAACTCGGCTTCAATGATTGCTACCCAGAGTTCCTTTCAGTCCAGTCGCGTAGGCTTGAGTTGGTCGACGACAACATTTTTTGAATTGACTGTCGAAACATTTCAAAGGAAAGTAAAGACATTTTCCAGACTTTTCTTTTTCTTTTTCTTCTCTTATTCGAACTTTTTTCTCTTTTGTCCTAAATTACTCCTAGGACTATAAAAGATTGCGGTATTTTGTTTTAGGACCTTCTCTTCGGCAGCCCCCTTTGATATTCGCCATCTTTGGCGAGCTCTGCCACCATTTTGCTTGATTCATAGCTAACTCTTTACTCACTATAGTGTGCCCAACTTACCTGACATCCATCGTAAAGAACTTTGAGGTTAAATCGATTCTTTTGGTATCCAAACACGTCATCGTTGTCGCCTTGCAGTCTAATGGCTTTTTCGAAGGAATTCGCAATCTTGTCGTACCAGGCGATCGAGTTGCTACAGTAATATGTGAAGTTCTGTACGGCTTTTTCGCTCAGCAGACGAAGGAAATTCAGTTGAGTTTTCCCAACATTCTTATATGAAATCTATAAAAGGAAACCATTATTATAACATGATTTAGGTTTATGTTGAAGTCTAAGCGAACAAAATATCAGCAAAGGAAGGAATGTCTTTTGAAGATGACTTCCGGTGATGATGGTGATAATGATGATGATGTTCATGATGATGATGATGACTGTGATGGTGGTGATGATGATGATGATGGTGATGATGGTGGTGATG